TTGGAGGGGGTCTGCGCCCCGTCACCATGACGACGCCGGCGAATGCCCAGAATGCCAGCAAAACGTGGGAACTGAGTCTCTACGAGCTGCACCGGACCCCGCAGGTGACAGGGATCTTCACCCCCTCCCCCATCACTCTGTGCTTTGCCCGACTCCGCGTTTGAATCACCTTTTATCTTTCCAAAGCACTTGTACACGTACCCCCTTTAATCCGATCTAGCCCCTCAAAACAGCCAGGCCAGCGAGCTACAGCAGACACTGCCGTGTTAATTGGAGCACGGTAAACAGACGCCAGAAGTTACCTTCTCTCTGCATGCACATGCCAGTGTACACAGACCCGTCCTACGAGTTTAAGTAGAACTCTCTCTCTCTCGATATTCTGACCTAGTGCAGAGGGACGTCGGAATCTGTTTTAACAGGCAGCTGGAATTCTAGTAGAGGTAGACTTCCTCTTAGAGTTTCAAGAAAGCCTGTTGAGGCCGGGTGTGGTGTTCAGCCTGGTTCTACATAGTGAATCCAGGCCAGCTAGGGTTACACACATAGTGAGACCTCCCCCCCCAAAAAAAGCAAACAAATAAATAAGTAAGTTTGTTGAATAAATACTCTCCAAGCCATAGACCTGTGGCATCTCCACACCGGCCCTAGTACCTCATCAAACATCTGCTCCTTCTGCTGTGAAACCCCTTGAGAATTCGAACTCGTTCCTTCTGGGTAATTTCTGAGTCTTTGGTCTCCTCATCCCAGAACTCCCATCTTCCTCAGTTGGCCAGCATGGCCATCCAGTTTCTACTGCCTTATCTGTCTCAAAGCTTGTGTCCGAAATTCCTTTTTCCCTTGCTTCTGAAATTCTTTTTCCCCAACCCCCTGCCACCTGGTGACGACCCAGGAAGCTATAATGGACGGCACAGAGATTGCCGTTTCCCCTCGGTCGCTGCATTCGGAGCTCATGTGTCCCATCTGCCTGGACATGCTGAAGAACACAATGACCACCAAGGAGTGCCTGCACCGGTTCTGCTCTGACTGCATTGTCACGGCCCTGCGGAGCGGGTAAGGGGAGGGCTAGGGACCAGCCGGGGCATCGGTGATGGGTACCGGCCCCACGGAGCTTCCTTTCCCCCATCCCAGGAACAAGGAGTGCCCTACCTGCCGGAAAAAGCTGGTCTCCAAGCGGTCCCTACGGCCAGACCCCAACTTCGATGCCCTGATCTCCAAAATCTACCCTAGCCGGGAGGAATATGAGGCCCATCAAGACCGCGTGCTCATCCGCCTCAGCCGCCTGCACAACCAGCAGGCGCTGAGCTCCAGTATCGAGGAGGGGCTTCGGATGCAGGCCATGCACAGGTGCGGAGGTCTGGAGACCGCGTTACCCGCTGGTCTTGTCTGAAATGGGAACTGTGTTAAGATCCGGGTTAGGGACCTGACATGGCCGTCTATGCGCTTCCGGCTGCCAGGTGTCGAGCACGCAGCTGTGGACATGGCTGATTCGAGGGCAGGTGTGTTCTCAAACAAGTGCTGGGAACCGACCCTAGCCCTCGCTCTTTCTTCAGTCATCAAATAAACACTTAACTGTGCTTGGCGCATTGTTAGCGACTAGTGAACACTCCAAATCACCATTAGGATTTCCGTGGCCTCACAGTTTAACACCTAAACGCCCCGCCCGAGTTCTGCCCTTTCTAACCGGGACTGTTTATTTCCACAGGGCCCAGCGTGTAAGGCGGCCAATGCCTGGATCGGATCAGACCACCACGATGAGTGGGGGGGAAGGAGAACCTGGGGAGGGAGAAGGGGACGGAGAGGATGTGAGCTCCGACTCCGCTCCAGACTCCGCCCCGGGCCCTGCCCCCAGCCGCCCGCGTGGAGCGGGTGCAGGGGGCGGCAGTGTAGGGACAGGGGGCGGAGCTGCCGGTGGGGTTTGCGGGGGTGCTGGTTCTGAAGACTCTGGTGACCGGGGTGGCACCCTGGGAGGGGGAACCCTGGGTCCCCCAAGCCCTCCCGGGGCCCCCAGTCCTCCAGAGCCAGGCGGAGAGATCGAGCTTGTGTTCCGGCCCCACCCCCTGCTTGTGGAAAAGGGAGAATACTGCCAGACTAGGTGAGGAGCCCTGCCTTTCGCTGCCCTACCACCTGGGTACCAGAGTTCTGGAATCTACATCAGAGGGAGCTTCAGGCCTGGGGGTGCAGTTCCGTTGGTAGAGTGTTTGTCGAGCAGGCCTGAGACCCTGAGTTTCTTCCCCAGGGCCACGTAAACCAAGGGTGGTTGTGTGTACTTGTAATCCCAGAGTCAGGGGGATGAGAGCAGGCTAGAGGCCAGCCTGGGGTACCTGTGTCGCCAGCCAGGCCATTTGGAGGCGGTTCTCCATCGGAGGCCTCTGTTGCCCCAACCTCCCGTCTCTGCCCTCCCCCCAGGTACGTGAAGACCACTGGGAATGCCACAGTGGATCATCTCTCCAAGTACTTGGCCCTGCGCATTGCCCTGGAGCGGAGGCAGCAGCAGGAAACCATAGAGCCCGGAGGGCCTGGTGGGGGTGCCTCGGACACAGGCGGACCTGATGGGGGTGGTGGGGAGAGCGGGGTTGCCGGAGGCGGCGGCGGCGAGGGTCCTGAGGAGCCTGCCCTGCCCAGCCTGGAAGGTGTCAGCGAGAAGCAGTACACCATCTACATTGCACCTGGGGGCGGAGCCTTCACGGTGAGCGTCTGCTGATAGTCATGGGGCAGGGAGCAGGCCAGGATGAGCCTGGCCTCTGCCCTGCTCTGTCCCTCTCGGTGCTCCCTCCCCCTTTCCTTTACTCCTCCCTCGTTTCTTGTCCATTTCCTTTTCTGACTTTCTCTCCTCCCCCGCCTCTCTCCAGACGCTGAATGGCTCCCTGACCTTGGAGCTTGTGAATGAGAAGTTCTGGAAGGTGTCCAGGCCACTGGAGCTCTGCTATGCCCCCACCAAGGACCCAAAATGACATCATAAGGGGACAGCAAGAGGATGGGGACCACAGGGTGTCGCTGTGTCCCGGCTCACTCTGCCAGCTTCATCTCCCAATGCCCCCCAGCCTGACAGCAAGAGGACACAAACAAGGACAGATGGCTTTTATACAAAGTATCTATATCAGATTCTTCTATATTGTACAGCACAGGGCCTATGCCCACTACTGCCTTTTCTACTGGCCCTAACTGCCCACCCTGCAGGTGACGGGAAGGTGAACACAGCCCCTCCCCGCCCTCCTACCTACCCACAACAAATTTGCTTACTTCTTTGAAACCTGCGGTCTTCTGTGTGTGTCTATCAAGGGTATATAATAAAAGGGTTGTCGAGGCCTGGAGAGGTGGCTCATCGGTTAGGAGCACTGGCTACTCTCGCAGAGGACCTGAGTTTGATTCCCAGCACCCTCACGGTGGCTCACTGCCATCTGTAACTCTAGTTTCAGGGGGTCCGATGCCCTTTTCTGGCCTCTGTAGTACCAGGAACACTGGTGCAGGCAAAACACCCAAATGCATAAAATTAAAAATAAGCTAGGCGTAGTGGTGCACAGCTTTAATTCTAGC